ATTACGCCTATCCCGACGCAGCTAAAATATCATTGGCTTCCTCTCTTGTATTCAATTGCAGTTAACAATGCTGGTATAGGTGGCATGTTCACCGTGGTAGAATGTACTCCGATGGCCCTGGCCAAAGAGCTGTTTGAAGTGAACTACTTTGGAGCCCTTCGGTTAATCCAAGCTGTGCTGCCCAACATGAAAGCGAGGCAAAGTGGACACATCATCAGCAACAGTAGTACTATGGGAGTTGTTGGCACACCTTTCAATGAACTCTACTGTTCAACTAAGTTCGCCCTTGAAGGACTGAGCGAAGCTTTGGCCCCTACTCTGCTCCATTTTAATATCAGGTGAATTGTTCACAATCTTTAACAGTTAAAATCTCGTTACCTCGGCAACCAGGGCTTTTAGCCGTTTCTAACTAGGTAGATTCTCACAAGGAAGAGATAAAAACCCAATCTGACAAAGGAACTGAGAAAACAGTCAGGGAACTAGGTAGAACAGAGTTCCTCATTTCGTTATCGTTCACTGGCTATTTCTTAAACCTAGAAGCATTGATAGTCTTGTGGGAGACATGTTCGCCCCTCTCCGGCAAGAGATCTGGTAACTAGTAGCTAGATTAGCATGGCTTTGACTACTGCTGTTTGATTGTTTTTATAGGTGCACGATACTCGAGACAGGCCCCACAGCGACCCTAGGGCCTGAAAACTCTAAAGCCTTTCTAGCGAAATTTAAATTGTCGGAAGCTGACCAAAAGACCAAAGAACTGCTGGAAACGTTTTCAGGAAGAATGTATCATTTGTTCATTAGCACGATGCAAAGTCCAGATGAGATTGCAGAAGTCGTAAGGGAGGTCATACTTAATGAGAAACCAAACCTACGCTATCAAACAAATGAAAAATACAACCCAGAAGAAATCAAGGAAAAACTTGTTGATCCAACAGGAAATGCTTTGGTTCAAATGGTCAAGAAAACATTCCTCGATGAAGAATAACTTGTTGCACAAGCAGAGGAATTTTAAATTTCAGTAATCATAGGTAATCTGTTTTGGTCAGTCAGTTAACCTGTCGTTTAGTGGAACGCGCGAAATAAAAATGTGAATGAGAGAAGCAAAAAGAGAAAGACTAAGCATGCTCGATTTCGGCCGCTCACTCGAGCCCGGTCTAGTCGTTATCACATGAGTTCCGGGGAAGAGGGAGCGCGGGCTCCTTTCTCGAACAGCGGTCGGCAATCGAACCCTAGGGGGTGGGGTGGGAGTTTGGCTTAAGGAAAAAGCTGTTGAGAAAGTCGTCGTCAGGTATCGGTCTCCTGGCATTCGCCGGGTTTATATCTAACAAGAGTCAGTTTGGAGATTTCACACTGGATAGACAGCTTTACAGATAGTCGTGTGGTTTAACTGTGGTTTAATCTCAGACATGATTCTACCCAAGAATGGAATAACTTGAAGGTACGAACGAAGATGTCTACGCACGTTTATTTCGTCCGCTCCACTATACTACAGCTTGAGGGTCATAGTGTCTTGATAGCTGCTTGTTTAGATATTATTCTAGATAGGAACATATTATGCTTAAATATTAAAACTTCCCTGGTCTCCAATCATGTACAATGGAGTGTTTCAATTTCATAAAAGGGATTCACGAGGGAAGGGTAGTGGTACAAGGTGATAATAAAAAGGAAAACAATTTCTTGCTTCCTGTTGGCTTCAATTCCTGCCTGTTGTGGCCCTGCTTTCAGCATAGTGTATGGAGAGTAATGCGAACGCACAAAACTGCTGGAGATATTGTGTACACCTATCGTGATGTCCACTGCCTGAACTGCCAAATGGAGTCTCCTGTCCCATCAACAATACTGTTCCGGTCCGGGTTTGAGGAATGCGGAGATGTTTATCCCACAGTTTGGGTACGTGCTTGTTCCACAACTGACCGCGGAACCGGAGAGAATTCACTGGTGAGAGTCACTCACGTCACGAAAATGCACTATAGCCCTGCCGAAAACACGGCTCCCCAAATCGTGCTGATCTCTCTGACTGTCATTTGGAGATGTCACAACTTCTGCTTTCCTAGTTGCTTTGATTGTCACGACCTTGAATCTTCTGACGAAAAGGAAATACCACGCAATGCATCGATCGCGTCTCATTCGTGAGTGCTTTTTACCATGCGTCATTAAATTCCAATGCTTAAAGTATTCTGAGTTCTTTTGGCCACGTAACAAAATCACCTTCAAATTGAGGGAAACCTGAAAATAGTAGTTTACTAAGATAAAAAACACCAAAGAGATAATAATCAACCGCAAAGGAACAAGGTTGGTTAAGGATGGAGAAGATTTACACGGATTACAAACGAAGAACTTGAAAAAATTAAGCGAAACTTTTCAAGAAAGGCAAACTGTGACGTAGCTCCTTTAAACTGGAAAGGTACACTTGGAAGAGTAATCTTCTCACTTCACGTCTCCCAGCAGTTCAAATACCGTGCTAGCTCGATCAAACACCCGGTGTCCAATGCGGAGTTTTAAATATAGATACCCCGCCCCCTGAAGGAGTTGAGGACCTATAACTCCTGTCCCCTCATGCATTTATTCATGGTTTATAAGCTTAACGCTAGGTATAATGACAAGTTAAATGATTGACATTGTGGACCAGTGAACCGGAAACTGTATTGGTCTGAGTTTCGCGGTTTTAAGAGACCTTTTTATACTCTTACATTCGGGTTATCATGGCTTCCCAAATCGTGCTGATCTCTGGTTGTTCTAGCGGCATAGGACTCGCTACAGCCGTGTTTCTCGCTAAAGATGCTGACAAACGCTTCAAGGTTTACGCCACCATGAGAAATCTGGCGAAGAAAGGACAGCTGGAGGAAGAAGGAAAGGAGTGTCTTGGAGACACATTGATTATCAAACAGATGGACGTGTGTAGTGATGAATCAGTCGAGAAAGCTGTTAAAGAAGTGCTGGACGCTGAGGGAAGGATTGATGTGTTGTGTAAGTAGAGAAAATAGGCAGCTGTAGTGTACTCCAAGCATAAGACCGAATCCCAGATGCTGTTAAGAAAAGATCATCTCGATATCACGCTACAAATTACTATAAATTTGTTGATATTGGTTTATACATAGTTCTACCTTTTATAACAGTTGTATAATCAAAATCCTTAAACTGCGACCCTTCATTCCTAAGCGATGAGTACATACTTGAACCGTATACTCAGTAAGAGATATTTAACTTAAACAAAATAAAACATATCAGAATAGAACGGTATTGGTTGTTTTTCTGTTGCCGTAATCTTAATTAATATGCTCATAACACATCAAAGTGTTTTTGTCGACCTAAAAAGCCATTAATCTTTATGTAGATTTGGTTTTGATTCAACTGATGCTTTGTTTCAGAAATAAAGCATTTTGATGGTTTTTACGAATGAACGTGTTCCCAAATTGTCACAAATCTGTTGTTTGTTTCCTATCTGTGCTTTGAAGTGAAAACAAAATCGGTCGATGGTAGAAGCCACTTAAGCATGGTTTTCACGACGACAAATTAAACAGCACAGGTGTATAACGTTAACTTCTTTTGTAGGACAGTGCCGGAATGCACACAACACAGGCATAAGCACGTAGGCACTCGACTACGTCATTCCACTGCACACTAATTAACAATTAGACCCGTAGCCTGCAAGGGCTACGGGTCAATAGCCCATGAGGCGAAGCTGAGTGGGTTATTGGCCCGTGGCCCTTGAGGGCAAAGGGTCTAATTGTTTTAGTATCACTTAACTAGTCGGACAGAAAAGGCAATAATAAAGTTAGCAAATGCAAGTTGAAGAAACATTCATTTGGGAATAAAACGAAAAAAGTGCGTCACGCTCGATTGCGCCAATTTCTAGTAGCGTAGCCAATTAAAATGCAGGATTTGCATTAGTCCACTAGTTGGGTGATACTAATGGCTGATAGTGTGCGATGACTCAGCCAATCAGATTGCAGCATTTGCATTAGTTTATTAGTAGAATTCTACTTTTTGCGTGATAGTTCATCCCGGTTTCTCTTTTTCCTAGCCGTGTACTTTAAAGGTATGTTTTGCACCAGAGAAAATGGCTTTCTATTTTGTCCTCACGAATACAATATCGCAAACTCATAACAACCCTTTCGGTTTCTCAAGCTATACAATGATTATGTTCCACCAACTGATCAAATATCTAGGGGGAAATGTTTAAGGTTCTTTTATCTTGGTGTGAATGATAAAAATTTATGATGTGGTTCCAATTCTGGACAACACATCCAAAATTCCAAGAAAAGTTATCTGGCTTTGATTAAAACGTCTTAAAAATGCTGAGATGTTTAACCCTTCTTTCAGCTCAAGGTGGCGCCGCAAGACGTTTATTTACTTTAAAATACTGTGAAACGGCAGACGCGAGAACCTTAATTCAGGTAACAGTTGAGTCTGTGATTTTAACACTGGAAGAGATTTTAACCGACTATTTACTTCTTGTCTTTCAGTCAATAATGCTGGCGTGAGTTTTTATTCCCCAGTGGAGTGTGTTCCTATCAGTATTGCTCAAGACATGTTTAACGTGAATTTCTTTGGTACTCTCCGCTTAATCAAGGCAGTGCTACCCAGCATGAAAACGAGACAAAGCGGGCACATCATCAACAACAGTTCTGTGTCAGGGATTATGGGTATTCCTTTTCTGGATATTTATTCAGCGTCAAAGTTTGCTGTTGAAGGGTTGAGTGAATCCTTGGCTCCACTTCTACAACAGTTTGACATCAGGTAAGTAATTTTCTGACGGCGGACCATCTATATAAAGGTAGACGCGCACAATTTTTAATTTACGGACTCGTCCATTAGAGCGGTTTTCACTTGAGTGTCAAAAAGTAATTGGTTTTGTATTAATACGCTACACGATTGGCGTAGAAAACTCGAGCCACTTTTTTATCCAATCAGAATTAAAACTAGAACCAATCATGACTCGTTCGCACACGTTTTGCCGCGCTTCGCGTCAGCTAAGTGTAATTACTTCGAGTTTTCATTGGTTCACTGGATTGCCTGTGTCCTTTGTGACAAGCTAGAATGATTACTTCAGTTGATTTTGGTTTCACGACACTCAATTGAAAACCGCCCTATAGATTCAGAAGAAAGTTATCACTCTTTATTTATCACAGTATTTTATTCTAAATAACGAATAGAACTCTTGAAGTTGCATGTTTGTTTCTGTGTCTAGGTACACGTTACTGGAACCAGGCCCCATTGATACTCTGATCGGTGAAAATGCAACGGAGTGGAGCAAAACCATGGACAACGGTACGGCTGACGAGAAAACGGCGAAGTTGCAGGGGATAGCAGGAAAAAAATTCGAAGAGCTAGTCAGCAAGAAAATGAAATCGATTGAAATAGCAGCCATTGTTAAAGAGATCATACTAGGCCAGAACACTAACTTTCGTTGCCTCACAAATGTTGAATTTCTTAACGAAGAAATTGCCGCCAAGCTGAAGGATTCTGCCACTAACAAACCAATGGAAATGATAAAGACACGATTCTTTGAAGAACAGAAGGATGAAAGCTATAATATTTGAACCCTTTCACTCCAAGAGAGAAACGTCATTTTCCCTCATAGATAGCTATGGATACGACTTTTTTATGAAAGTTGGTAAATAGAATTTGTTCATAGAAGTCGACATTCTGGCCTTCAACAGTAGGAGTGATTATGTACGAAGCTAGGTAGGTTCGCCTCAGCATCATAGTTTGTTGTCACAGTTTTACCAGTGTTTCTCTAGTTTAAGCTAACACATTTTTTTGTTTTTTATTTTTTTTGACATCGATTAAAAGCTAGTATGTACTTTGCTAATTTGGCTAACTTTCAAGCTATAGAATTCGTGGACTGACCCGTTCCGAAAACGCTCCAAATTTTTTAGGGTAGGCCCACCATCAATGACGTGTTTGTTTGTATATGAGATGAACGTATATCTGGAAAAGCACGATTCTTTCCAAAGCTTACTTCACAAAGCACGCCATCATTCTGTAAATTATGTTGCTCAAGAAGAGCGAGCACACGATTAAAAAGCTGCCGCAAATCTAATCCCCAGTTTCCACGCACTCCGCTGGCTTGTTCCACCCATTTGGCGATCAAGATGAACGGCTTGCATTTTTAGACTCGGGCTTTCCTACTGAAGACTAGTCTGTTCACAGACGTTTACTTTTTTGCTAAGAGTTATTTTTCTTGGAGCGTGCGAGTTATGTGAGCGCAGAGCGCGAGAGCGCGAGACTGGCCTATTCTGATCTTTCCCCAGCCCCATCCCATTGCGTTTTAGCGCGTACCGTGATCCCACGCGGCGGGTTAATATTTCGCTAAGCTTGCGATCTAAGACGAACTCAAGACAAAATAGAGGGTCTGTGGACAGGCTAACTGAAGCCCAAGTAGTTAAATTTGTTTGTTGCTTCAGTAAAACCAGAAGCATGTGAAGGTAAAAGCAGCTGCTGTCATACGCTTATTATGAAGGTGTTTCAACTCTCAGTTCTTCTGGCGAATCATACATAATACTTCCAATTACTTTTTACCGCGGTCTCGAATCAATGTGAAAATTGAACCAGATATATTGGAGCTGGATTGAAGTTTTTGCCATAATGTATATATTTTTTTAGGGGAATTAATATTTTCACGGAAACGAGAAGCAGAAATGCTTGGAAAAAAATTCAGTTGCTCCGATGTTGTCCGTCAAACGAAGGTCAACTTTCTTTATGATGTTATGGAACTTATAACGAAGCGATGCCTCGAAGCGAACTACGAAAACTAAAAAAAGAATCCTTTAACGAGGGTCTCGATGGAGGGTCCCTTTGACGGTTAAAAATAATCCGTTTTGACGGTTGACGGTTAATTTCTCGGAATAACTTTTTTTATTACGAAATCAAAGCGGAAATTGGCTGTAATTTTCATAAAAGGGTACAGTTTTGCTCAAATTTGCATAATTCAATTAGTCTTATAATTTTGTGCATTAAAACTTAGGTTTTTGGTCATCAGATATATGTCTAACTAGTAGTAATCAAAGATTATGAGTGCGTTCGACGCCGTCACTTCAATATATATATATACCTTAAATGATTTCACTAGCTGACTTGTCTATCGCTAAATATAAAATAAACATTAACATCAAC